AATAAACCCCATGTATATAAATATAGTAATTATCAAAATATTTCTCGACAACATGATTTTAATATTATTTTTTTTGAACAGTATGTGTTTGGTTTGCTGAATGTTTTCTAAAAACTAAAACTAAAATTTGTGTGTTACAAAAAATTTATCATTTTAGTATTTAATGTTTCATGCAACGTTTACTGTTATACTTTGGTTTTGAAATTGATAAAATAAATATTAAAATTTATGAAGCATAAATTACTGATTAATGTATTTGTACTTTATCCAAATTGATATTTTTGTATAATACTGTAAAACGCCAGTATTATATGTATCCTATGTATTTTTTCTTTTATTACAAAAAAATTAGAAGTAAATTTCACTCAGTAAATTATATAAATAATTTAGTTCTTTGGAATGTAGTTGTTTTGCTCAATTTTTGTGTTAATAACAATATTGTTTTTCTAATTGTTTTTATTTGTACGATTTTTTTTAAATACTATACTTAAATTTGTTATTGTCAAATATTGAGGTGTTCGATTTTTTTAAATAATTTCGATATTTAATTTTTTTTTAAAAAAATTATGTGTTAATTTTTTTTTTAAAATTATGTGTTAATTTTTTTTTAAAAAAATTATGTGTTAATTTTTTTTTAAGTTTTAAGTTTTAGGTTTAAATTTCAAAATGTGAATGAAAAAATAAGAATGTAATGCAATTCAATAGTTTTTAATAAATGTAGATTAAAATATTTTTTATTTGTTATATTTTTTTATTTATTATTATAACTTTCATTATTATTATTTATTATATTTTTTTAATTTTTGTGCTTGTTTTTGAATAGTTTTCACAACTTTTTAAATCACATACTTATTTATTTTTAAGCCTTTGATATTTATATACACAAACATTACAAATTAATTAATAATGAACAAAAACTTTATGAATTAAAAATATTTAAAACAAAACAAATATACAATATTTTAAAAAAGAAAAAATCGATACCAATAAATTTAAGGTTTAAATTTACATTAGTTACAAATAACAATTTTAAATTTGCCAAATTATTATAGTAAAAAATGTTCTTGAAAAATAATCATTATCAGTTGCAAATATTAAAAACAAGTTTGTTTTAATTTAAGATGTTTTGAGAGACTGGTTATAAAATTTTACTAGCGACTAATTAACTAATTAATTATGTAATAATAATTGTTTAAACAGGACCGTAGTTTACCCAGAATAAATTTTAATTTAAACAAAGGAACAAAATGTCATAAATGAATTGTAATCATGAACCTGCCTTTGAACACCTATGATAAAAATACTTCGAAGTTGAAATATATTTAAATAAATCGTCCAAAATTATAATGGATATTAAAATATTTTTATGAATACGTTTTGACGCAAAATTTGTGTCAACACACCAAAAAACACATTTAATTTTCTATCGTACAAAATTCATACTGTTTATTTGTTTATATAATTATAGTTTTAAATTTCAATTATTATGTTTTATCAAAAATTAAATTTTTCCTAATTTTTGTCTTTTTCTTCGGGTTCAGGCTGCAAAATGATGTCAAGTGTCAAAACGTTTTTATTGAATATAGTGTAATATTTATTATATATTATTTTTGTGCATTTCTGTAAATATGTCTCAAAGTCAAAAAGAAATTATTATTGGAAGTCCATGAAGAATGACTAAAATGGATGTACATCTGGTGAATATATTTTTCTTGTGTTTTTTGAAGCCTTTGTTGATGAAAATATATATACTAGGTGGCCTAAAAAACTTTAGAAAAATTAATTTTTGTATGAAATCAGTTTATATAAAGGGTGTGGGCGTGTTTCCATACAGAATTGGCCTCACACTGGTATTTAAATAATTTTGATGCCATTTTATAGGTATTTTTGAGAAAATTCGAAATAACAAATTTCAAATCTGTAGCTCATCATTTGGCCGAGATATCAGTGAAAACATGTGAAAGTGGCCCCTTTTTTCAAACTCACTTCTTGTCGCAAATATGAGAGATATCGAAAAACTGTTAACGCCATTCTATTTGTACTGAAATTTGGTATTTCGAATTTTCTTGAAAATACCTATAAAATGGCATCAAAATGATTTAAACACCAGGGTGGGGCCAATTATGTATGGAAACACGCCCAGACACTTTGTTTTCTATGTTGTTGTGATGTTGTGAATTATTATGATGCAACCCATTGGTTCCCATTCTCTATCTGCCTTATCATTTTTACACGTTTTAATTCCATCCAAGACTATGATTTTGCATTGATTTTACCAAATTTTCCAATTCGTCCCTGTCAACCTGCCTATCTGTATATAAACGCACATAGTCCCAAGAATTCGATAAAGTATTCGAAAACTTTTAACAATGTCCTATTATACAATATTATTTTTTATATATTTACAATTCTGGTCAACAAATGTCGACTTTGTATCTGCAGCTATACGAGGTTCGTATTATAAAAAAATATTTTTTAAAATAAACTGACTAGACATAGACTGTTTTCGATATGATTTTTATTATTTATTTTTTCTTTCTCTAGATAAAATGTGTCCTGGTTACAATGAGGTTTACAGCAGTTGCGATGCCCATTGCGACATTCAATGTGAAGATGTATCAAAAATTTTGCTGAGAATGGTCTGCAATCCAAAAATCTGCACACCTGGATGTATCTGTGCCACAGGTAATAAAATTCATCCATTTTTACAGTCAAAATGAAGTGAAATTACTTTGCCAATTTACTCTCAATCCAACAAATGTCATTTGTAAAACCTGATATTTCATTTCTTTCGTTAAATTGTCGAATTGGTCACTATGACTAATTTGGTCATTATGTTTTACTAGTCGTCCAACTGTTTATTCTGGATAACTACTAATTTGGTTTAACTGTCCAATATGTCCAATAAGCAGGCAGTCTTCAATTTATTTTGAAGTAGAACTTCTTTAGGCGCGCCTGAGGTGTCATTCCATAATATAAAACTAAGGAAGTTGGTTACACCTGATTTGCGTAAATTCTGGTTTGTCATAGACCGATGACATCATTTGAACAGAATTGACGCCATTGGTCGTATAATGTAAGAAAATCGATATTTGTGATTTAATTTATGACAACTAATAAAAAACTAACGGAAGGATAATTGTCATGGTAAAATTGTAGAAATCCAGCCATAAAAATAGATAAGGTATAAAGTTAGAAAAGTAAGCAGGTAGACAGCTATACAGGAACACAGGTAGACAGATTAACAGGTGGATAGATAAACAGGTATAAAAGTTGTCATCAGGAAAACTGATGGGTTATAAACAAATCATATTATTCGGGACAAAATGTCACTAGCAACTAATTTTTTAACTCAATTGACATCTCAAACAGAAGCAAAAAAGTAATTGAATATCATGTAAATGGACTCTTTTTCAAGTTCTCGAAGGAGAAGTTTACGTTTTCATAAAAAAATCCGATTCGCTAATTTTATATTCCTTTTCGACGTTTCAAGCCATTCTGAATCGAATGAGACCAAATTTGAAAAAAGTATGTGTGTGTGTGTATGTGACAAATTTTTTGCCGTAAATCGACGTTTTCTCACGTTCTAAACGGCTGGACCGATTTCAAAAATTTAAAAGCCATTCGATGTATCTCGATGAGGACTATCGTTTCTCTAGTCAAAGTTATTTTGATCAACAAATCTGTTATTTTGTCACTTTCAATCATGAATTGCGTCTAAATTTATCAAAGTTCTGTTATATCACAAATCAAAGAATTCAAAGTACTTTAATTCTATCAAATGTGCCAAATTTGTGAAATTTGATAAATAGGTTAAATAAATAAAATTTACAAAATTGATCAAATCAATTGAAAATGTAAATTTAGTTAAATATCAGACCTATCAGATCTACCAAATTAGAGAAAGCTCAAATTAATTACACACATTTTGAATTAAGAAAATTAGACGAATCTAACAAATTAGGCAAATGTACTAAATTAGACGAATCTACCAAATTAGACAAATCTACCAAATCGGACAAATTTACCAAATTAGGCAAATCTACCAAATTAGGAAAATTTACCAAATGGGACAAATCCACCAAATTAGAGAAATTTACCAAATTAGGGAAATCTACCAAATTAGACAAATGTACCAAATGAGACAAGTTCACCAAATTAGGCAAATCTACCAAATTAGGCAAATTTACCAAATGAGATAAATCTATCAAATTAGATAAATCTACCAAATTAGATAAATGTATCAAATGAAAAAAATGTACCAAATGAGACAAATCTACCAAATAGGACAAATTTATAGAATTAAGCAAATCTACCAAATTAGGCAAATCTACCAAATTAGACAAATCTACCAAATTAGGCATATTTACCAAATTAGACAAATGTGTTCTATAAAACAAATCTAATATTCTCTTCTAATTTTCTAGGAACTGCTCGAAATTTGGACAACGTTTGTGTTCCAACCAATTTGTGCGAACGTCCTAAATTTTCTGCACCTTCCGATGTTAACAAATCTAAGAAAAAAGCAGGAAAACTTTTTGGAGTCCATAAAACTCCTTTGAAAGATTTTGATGCTGATGAATACTACGATAGTGTAGAAGATAAATAAATAAATAATAAAAAGATAAACAAAATTGTACTTTGTTTTATTTCATAAGAATGGTGAACAATATAAAAGTTGAAGTTCTTTTCCAAATAGTATTTAGGATTAAAAGAGTCCATTACAATAGACCATTCAAAATTAAATACGTAAACGGAAAACAATTAGCTATAAATTTTTATTATTATTAACTATTATTAATTTCTCCGGAAAAATAGGTGTGGCAATCTAAATAAATTCTTTTGCTAAACAAAACAATTAAAAACAAAAGATATTTAACAAACAATTTTCTAATCTAACAATTAAATTCAATTATTTGCGTCAAAAAAATGTTTCTGCCAACTTATAAAAGCTGGTGGAAATTTTTGCTATTTTCAGTGCAGAATTGGATATTGAATTAATTACCAAAAAAAAAAAAATAAAAACATTTTTTTTAGAATTTTAAAATTTCAGAAAAAAATAATAAAATGGATGGATGGTTAAAAGTATGTTTTTTGTTGTGTTTTTTTAAAATCAACTTTGTGGATGGAAAGAAATATACTAGGTGGCCTATAGGTAAGTGAAAAATTTTAAAGAGTCATTAATTTTTATTTAGTATCAATTCAGATAAATTGTGATGTAATTTCGTAACTTATATTTATTAGAATGCAACCCATTGGTTGTCCATTTTCAAACTTTGTCATCATTTAAGTTATTTCCACTTGGTGGCCAATTGGTGAGTAAGAAATTTTAGAAAAATCATCAATTTTTATATAAAATCAGTTTATATGAATTAGTTTGCTATATTTTTGTGATATAATTTTTTATCTTATCAGAATGCAACCCATTGGTTGGCCATTCTATATCTATCTCACCATAAAATATTAGGAGAATAATCGATTTTTAGTAATGATTTAGTTTTCCTTCTTATTGTGATGTAATTTCTTAACCTTGTGTTATCAGATTGCAACTCATTCGTTGGCTAATATTAGGAAATTTACCAAATTAGGTAAATCTACCAAATTACACAGATTTACTAAATGAGATTAATTTACCAAATTAGACAAGTTCACCAAATTAGATGAATCTACCAATTCAGACAAATCTACCAATTTAGGCAAATCTACCCAATTAGACAAATCTACTAAAGGAGATAAATCTTCTAAATGAGATAAATCTACCAAATTAAACAAATCTACGAAATTAGACAGCTCTACCAATTCAGACAATGATACCAACTTAGACAAATCTCCCCAATTAGACAAATCTACCCAATTAGACAAATTTACCAAATTAGGCAAATCTACTAAGTTACACAAATTTGCCAAATTAGACAAATTTACCAAATTAGACGAATCTACCAAATGAGACAAATTTACCAAATTAGAAAAATCTACCAAATGAGACAAAATTACCAAATTTGACAAATTTACCAAATTAGGAAAATTTACCAAATTAAGCAAATCTACCAAATGAGACGAATCTACCAAATTTGACAAATTTACCAAATTAGGCAAATTTACCAAATATAGCAAATCTACCAAATTAGACAAAGCTACCAATTCAGACAAATCTACCAAATTAGACAAATCTACTAAATGCGATAAATCTACCAAATTAGACAAATCTACTAAATTACACAAATCTACCAATTCAGACAAATCTACCAAATTAGACAAATCTACCACATTAGGCAAATCTGCCAAATAAAACAAATTTAATATTTATATTAGTAAGTGTAAAATTTTAGGAAAATAATCAATTTTTGCACAGGAATTAGTTTCCCTATTTGTTAATGTTAACAAAATGCAACCCATCGGTCGACCATCTACTACCTGTCTCATAATTGGATTACCAATTGATTTAATATATCTCTTGTAACTTGCATTTTTAACTTATTTCATTTTTTTATTTACTACTTCTCCTATATTTTACCCTTTTGTCAGTGTAAAGGTTTAGGTGGTCATTTTGACCCCAAATAATGTAAGATTTTTTAGAGGTTGTATAGGAAACGTAAAATCTAGCTTAAAAATAAATATATATCTTATAAAAATATTAAATCGCGTACACCTAAAAATTATATTCAGGTATCGTGAACTAAACAACAGTGCTCAAAACCAAAACAACTACGAAAAAATACTTTCGTTAAAAATTTCACGATGTGGCTATTTATCTCTTGCCCAACTTAAGACAATAGCTGGTTTCACCTAATTTGCCCCCTACTTTAAAATAGCATTTTTTCAAGAAATACCACACTTTACTTATTTTTCAAAATAATGCTGATGGATCATTATCTGTGTCTTTCTATAACTAACCCAACTATCCTTTATCCCTTAGCTGATTTAAAATGTCCCGGTTACAACGAGGTCTACGCCGAATGTCATGCCGAATGCGACACACATTGCGAAGACCTCTTCGACATCAGAAAGAGGATGGATTGTGTCCCTACTCCGCCGCCGCCGCCCCTTCAAAGGGAGTTCCTCGCCGCCCTTTGTGCAGACATGAAACCCGAAGGAGCAGAATCTGGAGAAGAAACGACGACTGTGGCACCAGAAGATGGAGCAGGAGGCGAGGGCGGTGAAGGAGGCGAAGGCGGTGAAGGTGGTGAAGGTGAAGGAGGAGGTGAAGGGGGTGAAGATGAAAATAAAAAAAGGAGGAAAAGAGATGATGATGGTGAAGGCGGTGGAGAAGGTGAAGGAGATGAGGAGCCAAATGCAGAAGTCGAAGAAGAAAATGTTGGAGAAGGTGAAGGTACAAATGAAGAGGAGTCTGGAAACACGGATGATTCTCAAAAACCCGAAGACAAAGCACAAGGTAATGTTTGTGGTTAAATTTATTAACCTCCCGTAGGGCAAGTTATAGTAATCGCAAATAAAATCGAAAATGAAAACTTTTATATATCTTTACGTTTCAAAGGTTTCTGAACATTTTGGCATACCTTAGAAAAAATGGATGTATGTACGAGGTCTGTTCAAAAAGTACCCGGAATTTTTGTTTTTTCAAAAAAATATTTATTTATTCGTCTACATTAATGTGGTCCCCTTCAAAGTAGTCCCCCCCAGATATAATACACTTATGCCAGCGTTTTTTCCAATTTTCGAAGCACTCTTGATATTCACTTTTTGATATGTCCTTGAGCACTCTCAGCGATTCGGCCTTTATTTCTTCAATCGAGGAAAACCGCCGTCCTTTCATGGGTCTCTTCAACTTTGGGAATAGGAAAAAGTCACACGGAGCCATATCTGGTGAATATGGAGGTTGGGGCATGACTACGGTATTGTTTTTGGCCAAAAAATTACGAACAAGCAACGACGAGTGAGCAGGTGCGTTATCGTGGTGCAACAACATTGAAAAAATGTTATGACATGAGCCAATTGATATGCCAACTTCATCAGCAACTTCTCTAATTGTGATTCGGCGATCATTCATAACCATTTTTTCCACTTCTTTCACATTTTCATCGTTTGTTGACGTGCTGGGTCGACCGGAGCGTTCGTCATCTTCAACGTCTTCGCGGCCATCTTGGAAACGCTTATACCACTCGTAAACACTTGTTTTTTTCATAGCAGACTCACCATAGGCACCATAGGCACGTAACATTTCACACACTTTGTTACACTTTATTTCATTTTTTACGCAAAATTTAATACAAATTCTTTGACTTTTCAATTCTTCCATTGTAAAAATCGCCGAGCTCAGAAAAACACGTCGAACCTTAGCGACTACCACAGACAAAGTAAACAGTGAATATAGCTGAAAATTTCATCATACTTTAGGGGCATGTATACCAACACAATAAAAAAAAATTTTGACAATCAGACACTCCAGACCCGCGAAATTTAATTATTAGTAATTCCGGGTACTTTTTGAACACACCTCGTATGTGTGCGTATGTGTTTTTTCCCAGACTGGTCTTCTGTCTGGGTATGTCGGACTCTATACCGCTCTGGTATAATACCGACTAAAACCTCCGTTTTGCCCTTGCCTCTGGTCCCCACGGAAACCGCCGTTAGGCATTACTTCGTGGGGGGAGGATCTAGAATGTTATAATTCTTAACTTGTTTTATATTCATCTTTTAAGTAATGGAAGTTCCATTCGACCTTTCTCTTTCCATAGAGCGCAGGTCAATGTGTGTGTGTGTGAGTATATGAACAGATTTTTTGCCGTAAATCGACGCTTTCTCAAAAACGGTTGGACCGATTTCAAAAATTTTAAAGTCATTCGATGTATCTCGATGAGGACTATCGTTTGCCAGTTTTGCGCTACGATCGGCCGAGCCGTTTCTTTGTAAATAGAAAAAAAGTAAAATCGATATTAAAAATTCAAAAACCGTTCGATTGATTTTGGTTAGGAATCAACCTGATTAGTTTTTGGTAAAGATTTGTTGGTACAAGTTCTTGTAATTAACTGTTCTTGTAACTGTTGAAATTTTTTTTTTACTATTTTTATAAATTTTTGACAAAAGATATAATGGTTTTCAAGATAATACTAAAAAAAATATAGTCCTAAGACAAGTCGTTTAACTTTGAAAATTCGCCAAAATTCACAAAAATTAGTGATGTTTTTGGCGTTTGTTAAAATTAGACTTTAGACTTAAACGCCTGAATCGATTTCAAAAATTTAAAAGCCATTCGATGTATCTCGATGAGGAGTATCGTTTCTCAGTTTTGCGCGACGATCTGCCAAGCCGTTTCTTTGTAATTTGGAAAAAAGTGTTAAACGTTTCGTCCATATTCAAGCTCATACTATCAAATCGATTTTGAAAAATCAAAAACTGTTCGAAGGATATTAGTTCGGAATGATACTGATTAGTTTTAGGAGAAAATCTGCCGAGCCGTTTTCTTGTAATTAACTGTTGAAAAAAAATTAAGCCGATTTTTATGGAACTTTTTTTTATCGATATATATCATGGTCTTATAAAACTCGCTGTAATATTACGGCCTTACGACAAGTAGTTTAATTTCAAAAATTCATCAAAGTTTGAGAAAATGATTAGTTTTTTTGACGTTTGTTAAAATTAAACGATTCACTTAAAACAATTGTTGATTTTTGAAAATTTGCTTCTAGAATATACTCCGAGTTAACGTGTTCGTTCGTTTTCAATTATGTGTAATAAATTCACTCGGAATAGTTTTAATTACTCATAAATTAATTTATATTTTATTGATTAAGTCGATTATTTATACATATCAGAAAGTTTATGTAACTTGCCCCAAAGCAAAATACCAATAGTTGCTATTTCAAAATAGTTGAGTTTCAAAAGTACACACTCGCACACACAGATACAGCAAATTTAATCTATTGTCGAGAAAACTAAAAATCAGCAAGTCGATTTTTTGGTCCAAAAACATTTTTTCTTTGGAAACTTAAAAAGAATTCAACCTCATCGAATACCTTTAGTTCCACCAATCCCCTTTACATACTCCAAAACATTTACTAATAATATTTCATTATCCTTTATTACCTCAGAGGGCGTCAAGAAAGATGCCCTAGGCCGAGATTGCCGAGCCGGTTGCATCTGTACCACAGGGACAGCCCGAAACAGGGACGGAATCTGCGTCCCAACCGACCTTTGCGATTCGCAAGAAATCCTGGCAGGACACTGGAGCCCCAAAGAGCAAACAAACTCGAAAAATCAGCAGAATCAATCTCCGGGTTATGGACGACCTGGTGGATCTTCTTCGGGAGGTTCGAGTTATCAATCGTCGAGGGTAAGTAATTGATTGTAATTGATAGTAATCTCAATTGAAAGACTATACTATTTTTGATAGTGCAATTATATCTCATAACATAACGTTGTCATGGCAACGCCTTTTTATAATTGTTTCCTGATAGTAAAACTATGAAAATATTTATTTACTAGATGACCAGACAGACGTTGTCCTGTACACATGTCTACATTTTTTTAATATAATATACTAATATTTACCGTTTACCTAAAAATAATAATTATTGTTTTTTAAATTACTCTTCACGCCAAAATGCTTATACATTTATATAATAATATGTGCGGCTGTTAAATGTAGAACTGCTTTAAATAAAATGATGAGTCTCAATTCCCACACTATATTGGAAATTGAAGACTTTTAAACAGTATAACTTGACCATAACCATAACATAACACTGGTACTTCATGTTGGATTAGATTCATTTAATTTTTTATTATTTAAGATATCCAAAATTGCATCTCAAACTTCTCCTAATCGGTATCGTGAGAGCCAAATTGTATGTTACACATTTGTTGTTATAAAGTGAAAATTTTACGAATTTTAAAAATATTGTATTGTAAAGATTAGTAAAAGATGCTAAGAAATTATATATTTTAAAAAAAACTATATTGATAACTTTAATATCCGAATCTTGTGTTGGCGCCCCCTAAGGCGTGCGCTCCTATTTTTCGCATGCATCGCATTAAAGGTAGGACCGGCACTGATTATTACTTAATTTCTTATTGTAAGTGAATTATATTTGTCATATCCTGTTCATATGTGTATCGTTCAATCTGCCATACATATACTGCATTTTATATTATTTTAATTTCTGGCAGATCTCAGCTGCTTCTTGGCATTAATAATATAGACATTTCATTTTTCTTTTTCATAATCATAAATTTATTATACATATTCTAATATTGTCTAGATTCATAAGAAAATTGAAATTTTTGGCAGATGATAGTTTTCATTTATTTTCGATGCAAACAATGACATGCCGTTTTTTGCATTTTTTTCCATTTATTTCTACAATATTGCAAATAAATCCCAGTACTTTATAATCACATACATCCTAGAAAATTTCCTTAACAAACTTTAGAAAACTTATCAAAATCTGAATATTTGTTTGGAAGAAGTATACAGTGAGTGCTTGTAATTTAATATAAACTTTATATAATAGCAATAGAGTTCAAATTGATTCTACGTTTTAGTTAGAAAACGTTTGTATGAAAAAAAGAAAATGGCTGTTTTTAGGGCCGGCAATTATTCGATTTTTTCTCGCCGTAAGAACCATCCTTGGACTTCAATGAACATTTTAAAAAAATAATTGTCCAAATTGGTCCCGGCGTTGTTGAGTTAAGGGCTTAACAACACATTTTGCTATTCATTTTTATATATAAGATAAGAAAACGTTGTCATGACAAGGTTATGTTATGAGGCAGAATTGCTCCATGGAATCTCTTGAAGACGTTTATGAAATCACCAGGTCACCTAATTTAACCCAATTATCTGCCATTATCAAAAAAAAAAAATTACTGATCAAAAAGTAGACATCAAGAGTGACTGACTTGGTAAAGATAATTGGTCAGCATCTTTTTAATTCGCAATTCATCGTAACTTCTATTACATATAAATTAAATATCTTTTTAAAATGTAGAATCCCAATTCACGATTTTTTTATTGCAGGAACTTATTGGCTGCGATCATCATAAGCAGCCTTGGGAATGCATCAGACATACTCCTCCACAATTAGGATATTTACTTGATGTTCCACAATACGATCAAGGATTTGGAAATCCCGAAGATGTCAATGTAGAGGTATAAATTTATTTATTTTAATAAAATCTGCTAGTTGTAGATAGTTCATAGGATCATAAAACACACAAAATAAAAAGAAATAATTTAGTTAAAAATGTATCTATCAAGGAAACTTGGTGTGTCAAATATTTTTTTTTTCCATTTCTGCAGGAACACTATTTTCTATGTCCCATATACGTGACTGGCATGACCCTATATTAAAAAGTTCCTTGTTGTTAGGGTTTATACAAAAACCGACATTTCAGAAAACCGGTTTTCGAATTTTAATTTTACTAAAAACCAGTTTTAACCGGTTTTCGAATTTTATATAGAAAATAAATTTTTGCTCGAATATTCTGTAATTTATCCGCAAATTTAGTGTGATTTAGAGCAGTATTTGGCTGAATTTATTTATTGCTCAATTTTATGGATTGTAAACAAAATTATTTTAATTTTTTTAATCTTAATTAAATAACTTTGAAAATATTTATTTGTTATTCATGCATCATTTCTACATATATGAATAAAAATATTTTTATGATAGTGAAAGGAAAGTTACATGTTGATACATACTTGTTAATATCAATTTCAGTTTTAATATCAATTAAGCTAAACTCGGGTATTGCCTGTTTCGAGCAATTTTAATAAATTAATTTTAAACATTCTAATTGTTTTTCTTGTTGTTTTTTGTTTAATAAAATATGATTTCAAAAAACTGAGAACGTTTATCAAATTGCTACTGAAATAGAAAATACTCTCATACTTGCTACCAAATTATGCTTAATTGGTTTTAAAGCCTGATATAATAATTCTAAGCTTTTCGTTCTTTTATTTGTGCTTGAAACTATTTTATCTTTAAGTTTGAGTAGAGGAAGTTACTTTTTCAAGAAGAAGTCACACTGATTTAAATTAAAATATACTCAGGTATAAAAATCTAAATTAATATATACAAAGCCTTTCTGGAAACCATTGCAGACTGATAAGATATCAAATGCTATTGAACCGATATGATTTTAAGAATCAAATCTCTTTCATCTATCTTTTTATATATGTCTATATTTGTCATTTTTCATTTATATAGTGAAACCGACTCTTTTCACTAAAGAACCGGTTTTCGAATTCCATAACTTTCGCCAAAAAATCGGTTTTTAAAACCGTAAACCCTAATTTCTACCAATAATTAGAGCCCTAAAGGGCTCCACAATAAACAGTATTTTTCTTGACCAGAGTAATAATTATTAACTAATGATCTCTGATCGTCATTACCAATATCTAGACTCCTTAAACGCTTCATTAGAAACAGTATCCCTCAGCAAGAATTTTTCTTGACCAGAGTTATATTTATTAACTAATGATCTCTGATAGATATTACCAATATCTAGAGCCCACAAGATGTATTATCCTTCAGCAAGTAATTGTCTTGACAAAGTTATAATTATACCAACTTGTGTAAATCCATTTCGAGACCAAATTATTAAACTTTCAGGTCCACACAATTACCAAAAGAGCATCACCTCCAACTCCTGCCCACCAAACAGACCTGGTAGCCCTCTTAAAATCCTCAAACATCATACGATCAAGTCGTGTTGAAAAAGTAATGCAGGAAACAGACCGCAAATTCTATTCCCCTACAAATCCTTACTTAGATTTACCTCAAAGGCTTCAACGTGGAACACATGGAGCAACCATAAGTACTCCAACAATGCACGCATACGCCTTAGAACTCCTCCAACCCTTCATAAAACACGGAGAAAACATCCTGGACATAGGATCAGGAAGTGGGTATCTTCTAGCCTGTTTTTCGAGGCTGAAAAACCTGGACGGCCACGATAGAAATGACACAAGTGTAGTTGTCGGTATCGACAATCAACGAGAATTGATTAGGATAGCCAGGAATAATTTGAAACAAGATGATCGCACGTTGTTGCACGATATTGTACTAATTTCTGGGGATGGTAGATTTGGTTACCCAAAGTATGCGCCTTATAATGCAATTCATGTAGGTGCATCTGCAATGGAAGTTCCGCAGAGTTTGATAGATCAACTTAAACCTGGAGGTAGATTGGTGATGCCTGTAGGACCCCGGGGTAAAATGCAGGATTTTGTGGCTGTTGATAAAGATTTTGATGGTCATTTGAAGGAGACGAAAGTTTTGAAAGTGAAGTTTATGCCTTTAACGAAGTAACACTACACTAGACAACAAAACAATTTTCACATTGAACACAATAGAAAGACTAAATTGAGGGGAAATGTCATATGGAACGCTAGTAAATTATATAATGAATTGCCAAACGATATTAAGATGACCAATGATGACGACAAGTTTAAAATAAAAATAAAGAAATATCATAAGAAAATTGAAGATTGAATAGATATTTTAAATATGATAAATATTATATTGTAGTATAATGAAATAGACAAATGATATGTATATATAAAATAAACAAATTGTTTCATAGTCTCTCATACCAGATACCTCTGCCTGATTGAGATATGAAAATAATATATAAATAAATAAATAAATATAAATATATGCTGAAAAAAAGTGAATATAGTGATGCAAGTGATAGTAAATAATAGTGTGTCTAAAACAAAATATGTTTCAAAATATGAAAATAAATATAAATAAATTTACCAATCATCTTTTATTTTTATTTCTAGTTGAACAACAGGTTGTCTCATTTTTTGCACTGCTTAAAAATAAGTTCAGTCTTTATAGACTTTTAGAATCATGGGGAAATTCTGCCTCATAAAATAGCTTTCTTACGCTTGTTTCTTGGTAGTGAAAACTGAGAATATGTCAATCTATTTGCTTGGCGATCAGGTGTATTTTATATATAGACAATTAAAAAATAATCTTCTGATAACAAAATCTTCGATAATAAATATGAAAATAAATATAAATAAATTTACCAATCATCTTTTATTTTTATTTCTAGTCAAACAATAGGTTATCCCATTTTTTTTGGCACTGCTTGAAAATAAATTTAGTCTTTATAGACTTTTAGAATCATGGGGAAATTCTGCCTCATAAAATAGCTTTCTTACGCTTGTTTCTTGGTAGTGAAAACTGAGAAAATGTCAATCTATTTGCTTGCCGATCAGGTGTATTTTACATATAGACAATCAAGGAATAATCTTCTGATAATAAAATCTTCGATAATGCAGTTATCGTAAGATTCTTTCTTGCTTGTTTAAAGCAAGCGAAAAAATAGAAATTTTTAGATTTCACTACCAATAAATATGCATAAGATAGCGTTGCCATGACAACGCTCTTTTATAAGGCAGATTTGCCTCTCAGTCTTTTTTAAATTAATCAAAGATGTCCAAGAAGTTTTTTGTAAAATTTGCTTATTTCTACTAAATTACCAACCGAGAGGTTTATTTGAGAAACTAGTGGTAAATGGTCTATTTGTCCTTAAATCAAATTGCTGAACAATCCAGAAATTTTAAATTATTTTTTAGAATGATTTATAAAAGCAAATAATTTTTGGGAAGACATCACTTAGATTATATATTTCGTTGAAAAATCAGACACATGGCATTTTTTATAACAATTAAATTAATGAAAAAGTGTTCACAATTTTTTTCTTTTTTTGCAGATAAACGTGGAACCATTATGGCAATAAATATTGGTGGCATTTATTTTATCATCTCTTACAAAAACATGGAACAAATCAAATAATTATTATTTAAACTTTGTAATATTTTTTCAGTGAATCAAAAAAACAGAAATCACACCAGATGATAGACAATTAGACAACTCACTATACTATAAAAATATTTATGTATTTTTCTTTTATTACTTTATATATTTATTTTCAAAAACTTTATAGTTTACAGAATAACTATATGAAGATTGTATACATCTTGTACTGGAACATCAGAAATAAATACATATTTTGAAAAAAAAAAACATATTTTTATTTTTATTTGGATTTGCAGTGGGTAAACTACATCTATGTATTGTGTGTTTTCTTTTCTATAGCGAAGGAAATGCAATTTTGAGTACTAGACTAAGTCTTTTGTCTGGGTATGTCGAAGTCAATACTGCTTGGGTATAATAACTTTCTAAAACCTCTGTCCTTGTCCGGGTTCCCATGAAAACCGCCGCTAGGCATTACTTTGTGGGGGAGGATCTAGAATGTTATCATTCTTACCTTGATTTTATACTTATCTTTTAGCAGAGCAAAGTCAGTGCCTGTGTGTATGAATGTATATAATTGTTAATGTCCGTAAAAATCTGGGAAATTGTTAGGTAAATCCACGGACAGATTTTCGAATTTTTTAACTGATCGCCCCGCAGACTTTTTTTTGGCATTAATAATGAACATATGATCATTGACTAACACTTTTGTAAAATTAGTTTTTTATAAAAACCCTTATAAATTTCTGGTTATTTTTATTTCAATATGCTTTCGATATTGTTTGTAATTTTATTTTTTACTTCTAAGTATAAATATCAAATTTCAAATTAAAAATGGTAAATTTATTTTAAATTGTTTTTACGATTCTTCGCTTGTAAGTCATCATTCAGTAAATCTGAATCCCTTTTTTATTTGTTTTACAAAATAAATACTATCATCTTAAATCTGTTTTTAAATTTATTATGTAGAAATATTCCAAGCGAATCAAAAAAATCCAAAAAACAAAGTATGAAACAATATTATTTTTGAAGAAAATTTGGGAAATATTAGGCAAATCCCCTGACAGATTTTTAGATATTTTGATTGAAGCCCATATAACCCTCTATTTACCTAAATTTAAAATATATCACTATTAAAATATATTACAATTTTAATTTGAAAATGAAAAAGTTAAGTAATTAGATTTTTTAACGCTGACAGTTCGTAAAATTAGTTTTTTTCCAACGTCAAAAAATATTCAATTACATTGATTTATTACATCGATATAATTATTTCAAAATATATTTATGTACTAATAAAATATTTTTATTATTTATTATAAATCGACATAAAATATTTATTGTACTTCATTAAAATTCCTCATTATGATTTATTTAACTCATTAGAAGTTAATAATTTGTGTATAAATTCAAGGAGCAATTTATTCAAGTTCAGTTTCAGTTTTGAATCTCCAAAATTAATTTAATTAGAATACTTATACAAAATGTATACATTTCTGATTTGTTTTCTGTCTTTTGTGATATTTAGTTCCTGTGGTAGAAATGAAGGTAAGAATTTATACTTATTCAAAATTTGTACTTTTAATTTATGTATAAAATAGAATCCAAGTTTATTTCATTCTGATCTAAATACAGGATATTTGTATCGAATCTTAGAAGCAGTGTAATATAAAATTATTTCAAGACAAAAAAATTAAGTATTAGGCATCAGAAATCAGAAAAAACAAATATTAAATTTCAAAAATATTTTCAGATGGAGTAATAGAAATTATTATTGCTGAAGTGCCCGAAGGATTCAATATAGGTAAATAGTAAAAAATATGATCATTGACTAACACTTTTGTAAAATTAGTTTTTTATAAAAACCCTTATAAAATTCTGGTTATTTTTATTTCAATATGCTTTCGATATTGTTTGTAATTTTATTTTTTACTTCTAAGTATAAATATCAAATTTCAAATTAAAAATGGTAAATTTATTTTAAATTGTTTTTACGATTCTTCGCTTGTAAGTCATCATTCAGTAAATCTGAATCCCTTTTTTATTTGTTTTACAAAATAAATACTATCATCTTAAATCTGTTTTTAAATTTATTATGTAGAAATATTCCAAGCGAATCAAAAAAATCCAAAAAACAAAGTATGAAACAATATTATTTTTGAAGAAAATTTGGGAAATATTAGGCAAATCCCCTGACAGATTTTTAGATATTTTGATTGAAGCCCATATAACCCTCTATTTACCTAAATTTAAAATATATCACTATTAAAATATATTACAATTTTAATTTGAAAATGAAAAAGTTAAGTAATTAGATTTTTTTAACGCTGACAGTTCGTAAAATTAGTTTTTTTCCAACGTCAAAAAATATTCAATTACATTGATTTATTACATCGATATAATTATTTCAAAATATATTTATGTACTAATAAAATATTTTTATTATTTATTATAAATCGACATAAAATATTTATTGTACTTCATTAAAATTCCTCATTATGATTTATTTAACTCATTAGAAGTTAATAATTTGTGTATAAATTCAAGGAGCAATTTATTCAAGTTCAGTTTCAGTTTTGAATCTCCAAAATTAATTTAATTAGAATACTTATACAAAATGTATACATTTCTGATTTGTTTTCTGTCTTTTGTGATATTTAGTTCCTGTGGTAGAAATGAAGGTAAGAATTTATACTTATTCAAAATTTGTACTTTTAATTTATGTATAAAATAGAATCCAAGTTTATTTCATTCTGATCTAAATACAGGATATTTGTATCGAATCTTAGAAGCAGTGTAATATAAAATTATTTCAAGACAAAAAAATTAAGTATTAGGCATCAGAAATCAGAAAAAACAAATATTAAATTTCAAAAATATTTTCAGATGGAGTAATAGAAATTATTATTGCTGAAGTGCCCGAAGGATTCAATATAGGTAAATAGTAAAAAAAAGTTAAACTTCTATATTGAATATATTAAGGTATTTTTTTATAAATTTTTGTGATGACTTAAAATGTTCCAAAATAATAGTTTTCTCCAAGAATATATTTTTTGCGCGATTCAAAAGCATTTCGAAAGAATAATCGAGGTCATTAAACATATAATATTAGTACAAGATTTTTTTTTAAATTTTATTTTGTTATTAATTATTATATTTGTTTTATTAAAGGTTCCCTTCTGCAGCAATCGTATCGTCCCCAGAAAAAATCAGGTAATAATATTAATTATAATTTTAGTCTTTAATAAATACGATTATCATTAACAGAATAATTACTCAAATTGGCACAAATAAAAATTTTGCATAAAAAACTAAGTTTATAGATGAAAATTATTTAAATTCATAGTTTCATTTCATAAGTTTATAGTTTCACATTAAAGTATAATAATTATTAGTAATTGTGAATTAATTTTCAATACTCCCTGTATCAAAAATTAATTTTTCAAAAGATTTAAATATAAATAATTTTTAATTTTCTGATAACTGAAAAACAATTTTTTTATGAATTTTGAGATTTTTAAAAAAATTAGACTTTTTTGAAAAATTTAAAATATTTTTTTTATTTTGAAATCTTGAAAATTTTGAATTTGTTTTCAAAGCAATCGCGCTGCGTTGGATGCGTATATATCGCAGTATAACAGATAAACATTGGTACAGAACCCATAGACAAAATTTTTACTTATTGTTAAAATCCCTATAAAATATCTGATGATTTGATGTGCATTTGTCTAATTGTCATTTTTGACCTACAAATGGCATTTTTTTATTTTTTTATTGGATCTCCGAAACTGCTAGACCTGCTCTCTCAAAAATTTCATGAGTTCTTCATTTTGTCAATGCAAATAAAATATTATTTGAGTCATTCAAACCAAACGCTCCGTTCTCTCAAAAACTGAATTACCATTTATTGCACGTTTTAAGCCGTACTTTCGAAAAGGCCGGATCTGCTTTTGCCAAAAACTAATCTGCACGTCTCCTTATCAATAAAAATAGAAAGTATTTTAAATTATTTAAATCGGTTGATCCGTACGCCCAAAATCGTCTACAAAATATTGTATCCGCACATACACACACACATATCAATTTTTTCAAGTATGTCAAAATGTTCGATTTTTTGCGATCAATATATCTTACCCTACGGGGAGTTAAAAAAAATGACCCCATAATTTAATGAAAAGTGTTATGGTTGAACAACCCTTGATAAAAATTGATTGTTTTTCAAGTAAAATTCAAGCTCACACGACAAATACATAGATATTATTAACTTCCCGTAGGGCAAGTTATAGTAATCGCAAAAAAATCGAAAATGAAAATTTTTATATATCTTTACGTTTCAAAGGTTTCTGAACATTTTGGCATACCTTAGAAAAAACGGATATATGTGTGTGTGTGTGTGTGTGTATGTATGTATGTATGTGCGTGTGTGTATGTATGTGCGGATACAAATTTTCGTCGACGATTTCGGGAACACGGATCAACCGATTTGAATAATTCAAAAAACATTCGATTCGTATTGATAAGGAGACGTGCTGATTAGTTTTGGCGAAGGCAGGTCTAGCCGTTCCAAAGATACGGGGCAAAAAGTGCCGAAAACGGTAACTCAGTTTTTAAGAGAACGGAGCATCCGATTTGAATAATTCAAAAAACATTTCACTTGCATTGACAAGATGAAAATCGATAAAATTTTCATGAAGGTAGGTCTAGCGGTTTCGGAGATATGGAGGAAAAAGTAAAAAAATGAGCCATTTGGCGGTCAAAAATGGTCATTAGACATATGCACATCAAATAATCAGATATTTTATAGAGATTTTAACAATAAGTATAAATTTTATTTACATTCCTATGGGTTCAGTACCAATGCTTATTTGTTAGACAGCGACGCAGCGCTTACGCGCTTTGACATTTTATCTCTATGCAATTAAAGCAGCACGATTGCTTTGAAAAAAAGTTCAGAATTTCCAAAATATGTCAAAATAAAGAAAACATTTTTTTCGAAAATTCCTAGTTTGTCAAAAATCTAATTTTTTCGAAGTAAAATTTTTTCAAAAATGTTAATCGTTTTTAAAAAAATAATAATATTTGATACGGAAAGTTCCAGCAATTTGCCGTAAGGCTAGATGCCTTGCGACCCACTAGTTTTCATTCCTCATTTGCCTTAAAACACGATGCCATGCGTCTGTCTAGTTTAAGTAAAATTTAAGCTCATACTACAAATACATAGATATCATATTCATATTTTATCCAACTTAAATACTACGAAAACGTTAATATCAATTCCACCGTAGCTTTTCATAAAGACAACAAATGTCCCGCAATAAACGAAGTGTTCACCGAATGCGGCTTGGAATGTGACCCCAAATGTTACCAAATATTCAACGTCGGCGGCATCCCCAAGTGCGTCCCTGAGACCTGCACCCCCGGATGCATCTGCAGAAGGGGCACCGCCCGACGATCTGATGGAACCTGCGTACCCTACAATGTCTGCCAACATGGGAAACATGAAGACGTTATTCCACATGTGCCGTTTAATAAATTACCGCCTCCTAAATTACGGCCTAGTTATAAACCAGGTGTCCCACATTTGCCGACTGGCGACTTTAATGAAGAAGCATATGCGGGAATTCATAAAGAACCGTATGAGGATGGAGCATATGCAGGAATTCATATAGAACCGAATGAGGATGAACCATCAGGTAAAGAATTCAGATAGATCGATAAAATTTAGGATGAATGTATTGGAAATGATAAAAAAAAACAGAGAGTAACTAGGTATAAGTCTATATGTAGTGCAGAGTTTCAAACATTTTACCAAATAAGTGAGCTGAATAAAAGATTGATTTTATTTAGCACAGAGAATTAGGCCATTTGTGGGCTATTGTATTAACTAGGGTTTGTCGGTTTCCAAAAACCGGTTGTGAAAGCCGGTTTTAAAAGCCGGTTTTGAAAGCCTGGCAAAAATTATGGAATTCGAAATCCGGTTTTATAGTGAAAAAAGTCGGTTTTCACCGTATAAATGGAAAATGAAAAATTAAAAAGATAGATCAAATCGTTTTGATTCTCGAAATGATATTGGTTCAATAGCATTTGATATCTTATCAGTCTACAATGGTTTCCAGAAAGGTTTGGCATATATTAATTTAGATTTTTATACCAGTTTATATATTAATTTTATTCAGTGTGACTTCTTGAAGAAGTAATTTCCTTTACTCAAACTTAAAAAAAGAGTTTTAAACCCTAGAAACGACAAATTAAAAAACAATAAACTTGGAATTATTATATCAGGCTTTAAAAACAATTAAGCATAATTTGGTCGCAAGTATGAGAGTATTTTCTATTTCAGGAAATTTTGTGAGTAATCAAAGGACATGTCTAAGTAGAAATTCGATAGATGTTCTCAGTTTTTGAAATCATATTTAATCAAACAAAAAAACAATTAGAATGTTTAAAATTATTTAATTAAAATTGCTCGGAACAGACAATACCCGAGTTTAGCTTAATTGTTTTTAAAACTGAAATTAATATTAACAAGTATGTATCAACATGTATCTAATATTTTTTCAATTTATTAATTTTACAGATTTTTTTTTATTTAAAAATGTATTATTTTTATTTATTCTAAAACTTTCTTTTCACTATCATGAAAATATTGTCATTCTTATATGTGAAAATGATGCATGAATAACGAACAATTATTTTCAAAGTTATTTAATCAAGATAAACTATTATTTTTTAGTTCTACTAATTAAAATTAAAATAATTTTGTTTACTATCCATAAAATTAAACAATAAATTAATTCAGTCAAATACTGCTCTAAATTACACTAAAATTGCGGATAAATTACAGAATATTCGAGCAAAAACTTATTTCCTATATAAAATTCGAAAACCGGTTAAAACCGGTTTTCTGAAATGTCGGTTTTTGTATAAACCCTAGAATTAATCAACTTTCTTGAAAATTTAAAAGCCGTTCCATGCATCTCGATGAGAAGTATCGTTTATCATGTTAGCGCAATGATCGGCCAAGCAGTTTCTTTGTAAATTGCAACAAAGTGATTTTTTTTTGTCCACGTTTTAGACCGCGATTCTGAATCGATTTTTAAAATTCTACAACCGTTCGAAAAATTTTGGTTGGGAATCGATTTGATTAGTTTTTGGTAAAGATTCGCTGGCATAATTTCTTTTAATTAACTGTTGAAAAAAAAAAATTCAACGATTTTCATGATTTTTTTTAGGGTGGTTATAGTAATGGGCCGAAAATCGAAAATGAAAATTTTTGCATTTATTGAAGTTTTGAAGGTTTCTGAACGTTTTGGCGTACCTCAGGAAAAATGAATGTATGTGTGTATGTATGAATGTGTGTGTAGGTGTTTTGTAGTACGCATTTTTTTGTCCACGTTTTCGTTCGCACGGATCAACCGATTTGAATTATTCAAAAAACATTCGATTTCTATTGATAGGGAGATGTGCTGATTAGTTTTTGGCAAAGGCAGGTCCAGCCATTTCGAAGATACAAAGCTAAACGAACAAAAATTTGCAATTTTTGATAGAACTAAGTGTCCGAATTGAAAAATTCAAAAAAATTTCTGCTTGTTTTGACAACATAATTGGTTTCAAAAAAAAAATGTTTCAATTTTTTTTTTGAATTTTTTTTTTGTGTATCGATAATATTTCAAATTTTAATTTCAGTTCTGGCTAAAGTTCTAAAGCTTACTTACATACTTGAAATAAATAACTCTAACTTTAATTAAGTTTATATAATTCTTATAAATAAATGTTAGACAAATGTAACATTCTTATAATAATTTATTAGAAATCATTGAATATTGCCTTAAGACACGATGCTATACACCACTTGTTATTTATTAATAATGAGAACATCTTTTTCTTGAAGGTGCACAATTGTCACCAAAGGTTTTTACGGTGGCAGATTTTCCAGATTATTACAAAGATAAATTCTTGGAGTATATGAGTAGACAATGAATTATACGACTTCGAAATTATGCGACCATTATATGGATACATGGATACTATGAGAACAACTAAGGCAACTTCAGTAAATTAATTTTTTGCTGAAAAATACAGTTTTATGAATTATTCCTAAATATATAATGAATTAAAAAAAACAAATTTGTAATCTGCAATAGAATCTTATACTGTAAATTTGTAATGTGAATATATGTTATTGCATTTGAAAATGTGTTTGAATTAGTTTTGATATACCTTGCTAATTATTTCAGGTAACAAGATTATTTTAGGTAAGTAATAGCTAAAATTAACATTTTTGCAAATGTTGACGTTTCAAAGGTTTCCGAACATTATTAGACAAAATCATCAGATTTTTTAGGGATTTTTGGACTCATCATCCCCCTTTTGGTAATCGTCGTAATATAAAGAAATCAGAATTATCCCCCCCATCACCCACGAAACATCACGTGTATTTTTCATTACGTGAAATTTTCCGATCGATTTTTTCCAAGTTACGAAAAAAACGCAACATTTTTGTTTTTTTTTTTGAAAATTTAAATAAAAAAAGAGTGCGCGTAAGGTTCACACGCGATTGAAGTAAAACTTATTTGCTACTGCACAAGATGGCATTTAAGTAAAAATAAATACATTAACAATTTTGAATAATGTTCATTAGTAATATGATGGTAACAGTCGCGATGCACACATTTATTAGTGTCGACCATTATATGCATTTATATAATAATAAATTATAAATTATATATTTATATTAGCATTATAAATATGTATGATATTTAAAAACAATAATGTAATTAAAGTCGTACTTCAAATATGACATGATCGGTTTGTCAATGTAATTAGCATTTAGAAATGAACCTTCATTAGAGAAATGACGTATTTGCTGATTAATAAATTCTATAATATTCGTTCACAAATTGGATTATGTTAAACAACGCCTAAACAAATATTGTTTTTGCAACTTCACTCATTATGTAATAATTGTGTTTGAAGAACTTCATGTAATTAAAATTAACATACATTCATTGACTGATGGTATTTTTTTACTTTTTCGCTGGCGATAATCTCATTCTTTGAACAGCTGTAATATCTGTGTTGCCTAAAAGAAATAATTTCTAATCAATAAACTTACGTTTAGTACACGGCACAAATGTTTAATTTTTTTTATTATTTTCAAGGAACAAGGTAAAATATTCTTCTGATTCAGGCATTCTACATTGAATCAAGATTTGTACTACGATGTACTTTAAAATATTTATTTATCTATACCGATTTCTTTGTTGATATCGGTACGCATACAACGTTGATGCCGGTACGCATACAACGACAGATCTATATTCACATACACAACGACTAATCACAATCGACCCGTATAGAAATGATATATTCGAGAGCGAATGACGAATCATTGGCACTCGACTCTTATCTTATCTGCCGTAACGCATTTCTGTTGCATTTGTACGGATTTACCCCTTAGACGCGCCTAAAGAAGTTTTACTACAAAAATAAATACACGTGATATATCACTAGACCTCTCCCTCCTCAACGTGATTTTTCGTGATTTTTTGTCAAACTACCCCTCCCCCCAAAAACCATACTTGATTAATGGACGCTCCCTAAGTGTGTGTGTGTTTTTGTGTATAGTTTTATTTTGGAAAGTACGTCAACATCAGGTCATTCTAAATTATCATCATGCAACCCTAAGTTGCCGTCAGACAACCCCAAATATCTATCAGGCAAAACCAAAAATTTTATTTTTTTTCAGTTTTTAATTTAAAAATTTAAAGGCTCTTTCTTAACAGAAGTATGTATTAATCTATAATATAAAAATGAATCGCAAAATGTATTGGTAAGTGCATAACTCAACAACCCCTGAACCAATTTGGCCTATTCTTTTTTCAAAATGTTGTTCAAAATCGAATAATTGCCGGGGAAACCCTAAAAACAACTCTTTTCTTTTTCACATACAAATGTTAGTATTTTCATATTTTTGCCATCCGGATACGGAATATTTAGTCAAGTCAATGGAGCGTTTTGGGTTTGAATTTTTTTTAGTGTGCTCTAATTCGTATGAAATTTTGAAATAGGGTTTATCTTACTCTCAAGTTCAAAAGTGATAATAATTTAGACTCCTTTGCATTTCCCGGGGTGATGACATCCCTCTCAGTGATGTAATTTAATTTTTTTCAAAATAACGTCGGATATCGATAAAAGAGCTAATTATAAGAGAAAAATGTTTTATAATGTTTTTCAAAAAAGCAAATACTCATCATTTTGTTTAAAGCAGTTGTACATTTAAGATCTATATGGGTGGATGTATTTATATTTTGTTATAGACTATAGTGTAAAAAAAATATAATAATTTTAAACTAATTGGTAAATATCAGTATAGGTTATTTAAAAAAATTGGAACTTTTGAATTGTAAACATAAGTACAGGACAACGTCTGTCGGGTTATCTAGTATATAATAAATAACAAAAATATCCGATCAGCAGTCATTTAATTATTTGGTTTGAATGAAATTTAATATTTTTTGGCGTTAATTATGCTCGTATAACATTTTTCTAACGTTTTTGTAAATCAGTATTTAAAAAAAATCCTTATAATTTTATAGTTATATTTATATATTTTAATATGCTTTCAATATTGTTTGTAATTTTATTTTTCACTTCAAAGTATAAATATCAGAAGTCAAATTAAAAATGATAAATTGATTTTAAGTTGTTCTTACGTTTCGACGCTCCATGCGTGTCATCAATTCAGTGAATTTGAATCACATTTTTGTTTGTTTTACATAATAATTACTATCATCAAAAAATATCCAAATATCTAACTATAAATATAAAACAATAGTATTTTTAAACAAAATTTGGGAAATTGTGAGGTAAACCCATGGACAGGTTTCGGAAATTTTGATTGAAACCAATTAGTAGAATATTTTTTTGGCGTTAATAATTCTTATATAACCTTTTATTTGCCCTAAATTTAACATATATCAACATTCAAATTAAAATTGTAAGTAATTAGATTTTTCTAACACTGTCAGCTAGTAAAATTAGTTTTCTTTCAACGTCAAAAAATATTCAATTAAATTGATTTGTTACATCGATTATTTTAAAATATATTTATGTACTAATGAAATATTTTTATTATGTATTATAAATCGACATAAAATTTTTAATGAACTTGATTAAAATTCCCCGTTATGATTTATTTGACTTATTAGAAGTTAATAATTTGTGTATAAATTCAAGGAGCAATTTATTCAAGTTCAGTTTCACTTTTGAATCTCCAAATTTAATTTAATTAGAACAAATCATGAACAAAATGTATAAATTTCTCCTTTGTTTTCTATCTTTTGTGATATTTAGTTCTTGTGAAGGTAAAAATTTATACTTAAATTTTTTACTTTAAATTTATATATAAATTAGATTGATAGTTTATATCATGTTTATTTAAATATAAGATAAATTGCTTGAATTTTAGAAGCAGTCCAATATAAAATTAATGTAAGACAAAACATTAAATAGGCGAAAAAATTAAATATTAAATTTCAAAAATATTTTCAGATGGAATAATAGAAATTATTGTTGCTGAAGTGCCTGAAGGATTCAATATAGGTAAATAGTAACAAAAAGTTAAACAACTATATAGAATATTAAGGAATAATTTTAATAGATAAATTAATTAACTAAAATTAGTTAGTTTTCTCCAAGTGTATATTTATTGCACGATTCAAAAGTACTTCGAAAGAGTACTCGAGGTAATTAAACATATAATATTAGTACAAGAATTTTTTTAAATTTTATTTTGTTAATAATTATTTTTGTTTTATTAAAGGTTCCCTTTTGCAGCAATCGCATCGTCCCCAGAAAAAAAAAGGTAATAATATTAATTATAATTTCAGTGTTTAAAAATATCAAAAACAAATAGTAAATTTTACATCTAATCGTTATGAAAAATTGAATTTGTAGTTTCAATATTGTTCATAATTTTATTTTTCACTACGAAGTACAAATATCAGATTTTGAATTAAAAAAGACAAATTGATTTTAAATTGTTTTTACGTTTCGACGTTTGATGTGTGTCATCATTTGTATCACATTTTTATTTGTTTTACGCAATGAATACCATTATCAAAAAAATCCAAATAATATTTATGTTCTAATTCAAAAATCAATTTAAATTTATTAAGTAAAAATATAAAATGCAAATCAAGAATATTCAAAAAAAAACAAGACATGAAACAATATATTTTAAGAAGAACAAAATATTCTGAAAATTTATTTTTGTCAGTTTTTGTTATAAGATAAGATAAGATAGTATAGTTATGTATACGTGTTTATGATATAATAAATTAAAGATTAAAAAAAACTGTTCCAATAATAAGTTCAATATTATTCTGTCTTGATGTGAATTTTACTCAAAATTTATAATATATTGTCTATGTTTTAAAATTTATTCTTTTGTTAATTGTGCCTTAAGGCAAATTACTGAAACTTTCCGTACTGAAAATTTAAATTTTTAAGAAAGCTGTAAAATTTTTTTGAAAACTAAAAAGATAAGATTTTTGAAAAATTTGAAATTTTTTTATATTTAGATTTATTTTTTAATTTAGAATTTTTTTCGAAAGTAATTGTGTTATGTAGCTGTTTTAGAAAAAAAAACATTGAAGCGCGTTAGCGCCGCGTCGCCGTGTAATGATTATACATTGTTACGAGTGCAAACAAAATTTATACTTATTTTTAAAATCTCTATAAAATATCTGATAATTTAATGTGCTTATGACTAATGATCATTCTTGACCTACAAATGGCATTTTTTTACGTTTTTCATAGGATCACCGAAACTGCTAGACCTGCCTTTGTAAAATTTCATTAGTTCTTCATTTCGTCAATACAAATAAAATGTTTTTTGAATTATTAAAATCAGACGCTCCGTTCTCTTAAAAACTGAGTTACAGTTTTGGCACTTTTTGATCCGTATCTTTGTAACGGCTAGACCTGCCTTTGCCAAAAACAAATCAGCACGTCTCCTCATCAATAGGAATCGAA